TATAAACAAAAAAATTATTTCTATTTTAGCTTCATCATCAAATGAATCATCATCAATTAATAATGGTGTTAGTCCAGCTCAATCAGTTCCTGTTAATACAAAACCACGTAAAGAACGTACAGCATTTACAAAAAATCAAATACGTGAATTAGAACGTGAATTTTTAAAACATAATTATTTAACACGTTTACGTCGTTATGAAATAGCTGTTGCACTTAGTTTAACAGAACGACAAGTTAAGGTAAATTAATTTTAAAATTTTGTTTTACTTGTGTTTTTTTTTCACAACAAGAAAAATATGATTTTTTTAAAGGTATGGTTTCAAAATCGTCGTATGAAATTTAAACGTGTTCGTGGTGCTGTTTTGGCTAAAATTGATAAAGTTAATCAAAAAACATCTTATCATGCATCGAATGAAGAACAAGATGGAGATTCCGAAGATGACGAAAGCATTGCTAGCCACTAGATTTTTTTTTCTCTTTTTCTTTTTTTTTTTGTTGCTGTATAAATAAACATAAATGATTGCTAAAGGAAAAAGGACGACAAAACAAATTCCTTCCTACGGCATTTATATCGTCGTCGTCTTCTTCGTATTGTTTACATTTCCGGCTTATTGAACTTAGTGAGTCGTCATCGGAGTTTTTTTTTCTTGCCCTAATTAACTATATGCACACGAGTCCAATGGTGTCCAGATGGACGAAAAAGTCGTTTGTATTATTTACATCCCTGTTATTTATTCTCGAAGAGCAGCACTTTATGGAGACACATAACGGAATAATCATCATATATATATATATATTTGTTTTATCAATGTCGTTTGTATATACAATAATATCAACGAGAATAAGAAAAAGCAAGTGCTCGAGTAAAAATCAAATGTTATTTGTTTAATCTCAATGGATTTCTTCTGTTTATCAATGATGTGGAACAAGAACAGAGAAAGTAATTTTGTCGTTTTTCTCTTCTTCTGTCCGAGGTGAAAATGAGGCGCAATAGATGATGCTTTTTTAGGTATCTATGATCTTCGTTGATTGAAACAACAGATGATGAACGTCAAATGTCAAAGCTTTCTTGCTAATCGAATCGATTGCGGCCGACTTTTTCTATGTTGTTGTTGTTCTTGCTTTTACTCGTGTTAACCATCTGGGATAAAGGGAACGTCTTTTATTAAATTGCAGAAAGACGAAAAAAAAAACAGAAAACAATGGGAAATGTCATATACATTCTTTTGTTCGTTTCACCTGAAACATTGAAATGTAAGAAGATGAATTTATTTACATTAGAATTCGAAATATTTATATATAAAATTATGAAATGTTTTAATTGTTGTTATTCATTTGATGATATCATATATATATATATAAACTACCGTTACAAAACGAAGAAATAGATATAACTGTAACTGAGAGAATGGGAGGAGTGCATATGCAAGATGAGATTTCATCGATTGATTAGATTGATATAACAATCGTGCCATTTGTTTTTCTATATAGAACTATTTGAGTAGTCGAATATAATGATACCGACATGGAGAAAAAGAATGATGTCATGGAAATCAAAGTGATAATAAACGGGATTTTAATTAACAGAGTACAAGGTTTCAATTGCATTCAACGAAACAATGGAAGACAAAATTTTTTTTTTTACACTCGATCAAGTTGGTTCAATCCTAGTTCAATTAAGGAAGAAGGATGTAATTGGATTCAGTAGAAGATCTAAACCCTATTTAATGCTTGACTCGTTACAATATCTACGTTATGTTCATATAACACAAATTTAAAAACTGATGTTTGTTAACAATGGATTGGTCTTATGATTTATTTTAATTATTATGTTATATATCATCTATCCAAATTTAAAAATGTATTAAAACGATGTGGACAACCAAAGAAACTTGGAACAGTTTTATTTCGTTAAAGTTTTTAAGTATGTACTCACGCATCATATATCTTGTATCGTACAATTAATTTATGGTATTGCAATGTATTAATTAAACTAGATTAAGTGGATTCTGATCAATCTAAAGTGGCTAAAATTAGCCTGAATGAGCTCATAAAATCGTCGTCTAACAATTGAAGATACAGTCTTTCCATATAATTGCTGCATGTTCGTATATAACTGAGTTTTATTAAGAAACTAAAAAGATGATAGTCTTGAAATAGCGAGTAGAGATGCGCGGAACCAGACACGGCAATGGCTAAAAAAAGACTGCCTCAACCGAAACTAAAACTTATATTAGTTTAGATATTCTATGGTTTTAAGCAAATATTTGTATAAATCATATCAATAAGAGTAGAATTCAAGAGAGATGATCCAAAACAGTGCTAGTCGTCGACTAAATAAATAAGATCGGAACTGAGATAAAAAAAAAAAAAACTTGGTCACACACATTTCTATTCACAATAAAATCGCTCCGCATCATTGATTGTTTTTAAATTTGGTTTCTGTATATAAGGTAGACTTTGGTAAAGGTGAATTAACTATCAACGTATAAATCCTCTTAGCTGTATTTTATCGAGTTATAACCGTTTAATTGGAATTCTAGAGTATGACAACTCAAGTTAAAGATAGCAACGCTATAAAACGATATAAAACTACGAATTATGGTGAAACTTAAGGCAGTAATATTCCATTAGAATTTTTCCATACAGGTATACCTGTTGATCAATATAATACTTAAAAAATTTCAGCTTAAAAGGATGTTTCCTTTACAAGATATTGAAGTTCAAAACACATCACTCATATTTCATAAAATATTTTAGAATCTTACGTTTTTTGGAATTCAATGAATTGTAAAGAAAACATTTTTTTTGAGCTGAGTTACTCAGAACATTCTAGTTATAAGTTGGGCAAAACTTTCAGATCAAAATATGATCCTACGATTTGTTGATATAAACCATGTCATAGATTCGAATGACAATAAAATGGCTATAAATCTGAACGGAATAACATAAATTAATTGAAATGATTCTTCTCTAAATTTTTTTGAATTCTCTCAGAAGTATTCGATATCTTAATGATAATACAATTGACTAAATAAAATGTCAATATCAATAATTCACTGACAATCTTCCACAAGACTTCAGTTTCTTTTTTTATATAGTCTTTGTGATAAACATGTATACTTTTTATTAACTAAAGTTCGTTATTTTCTTCGACAATCAGTTACCAATGAACATTATATACGAGTAATATAATTAGTTTATATTATGGTGAGGTATGTTCAGATTTCCAAAAAAGGAAATTACCTATATTTCTGAAATTTCCATCAGCTCGATTACTATATAGCAGTGCAAATCAAAAGTTTTTAGACATATTGGAAATTTCAGCAATTTTAGAAATTTCTGTAAGTACGTCATTGCGGAAATTTCAGAAATTTCGGAAATTACTTCATTTTAGGAAGTAACGTGCAATTCCGAACACAAATACTTGAAATCTCCGAAATTTCCTTTTTCGGAAGTCTAAACACTGCTGATTATGGTAATGATAGATTCTGCAAGTAAGACTCTTCTGACCTGATTTCGATCTGGCTGACATTTTTACCATAGATATTTGGACATATTCTCCAGAAGTAGAATTAGCTGCTGTCATTGTCGACATTTGTACCTTGATTTATAGAATTCTAAGAGCCGAATTCCTGATTTTAGCTCTGAACTTTTATTTATTTTTCTCATTAAGAAGCAGAAAGTAAAATTTTTGAGAAAGTTCAAAACTACCTTTGAAATATAGTCTTAGATCTTTCCAAACAAAAAATGTTTAGGTCAATCGGACAAAATTTGATGGACGTCATTATACACAAGGATGTGGCTCCATAGAAAACTAGGCTTTTTGCTATAAAACCCTCTTTGAAATTTCTTTCATTGAACAATTTTACGCTTATTGATTGCACCTTTGTCGAGAACCAGAACTGGTTAAAAAAAAGACGGGAATACCCTTAACTCTTGTATGAACAATATTATCTGGTCATTTCTTTCTGATAGCGACACTCATCATACTCGAGAGTATTTAAAAATCAATCAGATAAAGATGTGATTGAACATTCAATGAAAGTAAAACTATATTCATGATCGTTTAAATACTTATGTCATTTTTATTTGAGTAAAATTACTGTATGACTCATGACAACATGGCAGATAATGAAATGTTTATCTTGGATAAATTTTATATGGTAGGAATTATGTAACATAATTTTTTTGTAACTTTCAACTTGTCCATGAAATTTATCATGACTTGGTGATGTAAAGCATCGCACGTAATGAAAATCAATATTGAATACACCTAGTAAAGTATTATCGAGATTTCATAGACATATTAGACATTGTAATTCTCATCGAAATATATTAAATCAGATAGTATATTCAATTATATATTTTAATTTTAATAAAGATGAGAGTCACTCAAAAGATGGTGCTAAGTTACAATGATATTTTAACAAAAGTATACACAACAGATTAGCAAATATGAGTTTTCATTAAAATTAACTGCCAAATTTGAGTTGATCAAAAGAATTAATTATCATAAATTGTCTATATCAGTGATAGATTTTATAAACTATTAATACTAGCTTTTTCAAAATAAGTTTTATCCTAAGTGCATTAATAGATTTCAAGTTCAACATTAGTGCAAATGATTCATACACATAAAACAACAACAAAAAAAGGAAGGAGAGAAAAAGATTTCATTTTATTCGATACTAAAATAACCAATAAAAATTTTACCACTCTAGTATTGATCAATCCTAATGCAGTACAATAAAAACGAACAAAATCTAAAATGCATAAATGCATTTAATATATTCAAATGGCCAGTTGTTACTCATTGAATGACATTCTGTGTCCATCGTTTGTTCTAGATCCTATTGCTCTATCCATCTAATCATTCTTTCAATTGAATTTCTTTGTTTAATTGTGTCTAGTCTATATATAATATATATTTACAGGTCAGTCAGTTAGTTGAACATTTATCTTCAGTTATCCATTTTCCCTTTCTGTAATTGAAATATGAGTGAACATAATTCCAATATGGGTAACGAGGACAATGGTCAACAAAACAATAATAATAATAATGATATAAATAATTCAAGCAATGGAACAAATCGTGGTGGTAATGCAAATAATCATGGACGACTTGAAGTACGTTTTTTGGTATGTAGTCGTGATGCTGGAGCTATTATTGGTAAAAAAGGTTCAAATATTCAATCACTTCGGCAGAAACATAAAGTTATTATACAAGTTCCCGATTGTAATGTATGTTGATTAGAGTTTTTCATCATTCTTTTATTATTTTTGACTAAACATAATCTTTTTTAGGGACCAGAACGTGTTTTAACAATTCAAGGTGATTACGATTCATGTTTAGCAGCTATTATTGATATATTACCGACAATGAGAGATAATCAACGGGTACAAAATGATCAAAGTGAAATACGTTTGCTTACACACCAAAGTCAAGCAGGAGCAGTGATTGGTAAATTAGAAACAAAAACAACAAGTTTTTTTTTGTTGATTTTGATTTCTTTTAGGCAAAGGAGGTGAACGTGTACGTGAACTTCGATCCAAATATAATGTTGGTATGAAAGTATTTGTTCAATGTTTACCATTTTCAACTGAACGTGTTGTTGCACTACGTGGTCGTGCTGATGATATTGAACGTTGTCTACGTGAAGTTTTTAGTATACTTGAACAAACACCACCACGTGGACAAATGTGTTTTTATGATCCATTTAATTTTGATGAAAGTCTTTCGTCTGAATATGGTTTGTTTAAAAGAACAACAATAAAAAACTTCAAAATGAAAATTATTTTTTTTTTGTTCTTATTAAGGCGGCTTTTCCGATGTGCAACATGGTATGATGATGAATCAACAAAGTGGTAATGGTCCACCACAAACAGGATATCGTGCTCCTCGTGATCAAGGTGGTTTTCAAGGTCCACCATATAATCAGAATAATAATAATAATTATCCATCTGGTCCAAATGACAGTTATAATCAAGGACCACCCCCACCACCTGTACCTCGCCCATTAATAACTGGAAATGATTCCAATTATAATGTATCTCAAACTCAAACAAATCAAGTTACTATTCCAAATCATTTAGCTAGTTGTATTATAGGACATCGTGGTACAAAAATTGCACAAATACGTCAAACATCTGGAGCTATAATTCGTATTGATGATCCAGCACCAGGTTCAAATGATCGAATAATAACAATACAAGGTACACCGACTCAAATAAGTCAAGCACAATATTTTCTACAAATGGCTGTTAAAGAATCGGGTCTATGGAATGGAAATTAAATTCGAACGACCTTTTTGTATATTGAAAACATAACCTATCGAATCAAATAGAAAAAAAAAACATTAAATCAAGAAACTCTCGTTTGTCATTGTTGTTGTTTTTAGTTTTTCTGCTTACTGCCTCTGTTATTGTTCTGGTTCCTGTATTCCTATTCTTACATTTTTTTTTGTTCTTCTTCTTTATCTTCCTATTTACTGGTAAAACGTTCCATAAAAAAGAAACAAAGCCAAAAAAAATAAAATATCTACTTGTTGTTATTTTCTTACAATAGTAAAAGAAAAAAAAAGAATATTTGAATTGTTTTTAATGAAAGGAACATGATATGATAGTCATTTTGTATTTTTTTTTCTAAATGATCACTTGACAGCATTTCGTTTACTATAAATCATTTGATCTAAAAGAGAAAGAAAAGTACGTTCTTTTCATATTCGATATCTTTAAGATTTAATACCTTTGATATATTGAAAACTGAGATTAAAAAAACAATGTCATCAACTTGAAGCCAATGATTTCAAGTGTTGATACAAGATTTATCCATGGTAATCCTAGTTATATTCGTGTATAATCATGCATAGAAGATAATTTATATTCATAATCTGAAATATATTGATATAAATCGTAATCGAAAAAATAGGAAATAAAATGAAATATTAAAGTTTTTAAATAATATATCGATTATTTATTCATTTCGATGTATATATTCAGGAACTAGAACAACAAAAAAACAAAGTTATTATTGATTTTGCTAAAGTTCGCATATCAACGTTGTTAACTATGATTGAAAAAAATGCCTTATTAACTCAATTTTTTATCGCTTGGAAAGTTTCATTGAATATCATTCGAACTTTTCGCTTATCATACAGTGGTGGATCTCGAATTTTGGAAAATGTGGACGATTATAGTCACAAAACGTGTTTTTAAATCAAATTAGAAGTCGTAACGACTGATTTTGGGTGCTGTCAACTGAGAAAAATAGCCTAGAGTGAAGAAGTACACATTTCCCTCTAACTCTTACCACTGTTATAACAATTTAACTTTGTAAAGATTGTCACTGTCCATCTAGGATATAAACGTTTCAAAACCAGTCGGAAAAAATGCATCTAAACTTTTCATACTCAAGTAGCACGAAAAATTTTTTTATGAAAATATATAATTAGCGATGAAAATCAATAAGCAGTAAATATTTTTTATTTAATCAAGTCTCGTTTCAAAATAGATTAAAGATTGCATATAATTGAATTCATAATTTCTTCCCTACTTAAAATTTGGGACAAACAACAATTCAATCTTATTTGTTTTCATTGAAAATAATAACGATGCAAAAAAATATCTTGATAAAATAAAATAGCAAAAGAAATAAATATAAATTAAACCAAATATGGATAGATCATATCCGATCAAATAATGCTAGATATATTTTGTTAAATGATAGATGATATCACGCCAAAAAAAAACAAACAAAACGAACGGATATACATCAAACGTACAGTTTGGTTTTTTTTTCAAATATTTTAAATGTCTGCTTGAATGTAATGTACGTATAAAAGAAATATATAGCACGCACGTCTACAAAAAAACGAAAACCAAACAAAAAAAAAAACCATAATTTGTTTTTTTTAATGTATTCCTATCTAAGCATACGTTAATACAAGTATCATAAAGAGTGAATGTGTGCAAAACAAACGAATAAATCAACGTTTTAGTATAATATGTAGATAGATAGATAGATAGATAGATAGATAGAAACACAACACCCGTAAAAGAAATGTTGGAAGCTAAACAAATCTTTATGCACTGATCATACACAAGCTAGGAAAGAAAAAAAGAGGAAAAAAAAGCGCGATGGATCATCTTCAGTTCTATGCTTATTGTGGTTGTTGTTGTTAGTTTTTTTGAAAATTACTATTTCACAATGATACAAGAATAAAAAGCAAATAACCTACTACCTCTCTTTTCATTTTGAAGAAGATAAAGAGGCCTTATTTCATACAAAAAAAAGAATCATAAAGGAGTTGCAGATCACTATAGTTATAACAATCAGTAAATGTTCAATAACAACAAACAAATAGACACACCGTTATTACACATCGAAAAGAAAACAACAAACGATTATGTTAGGTGAGATGCACTAGAGAGACCGCCATTATAATGTCTATATACATTACAGAAGACAAAACACAAAATATATATATGTATATATGTATATATGAAAACCTAACGATCGTGGATAAATGAGAGTAGACAAAAAAAAATTTTTTTTTTTCTTAACCAAGCCAAACAGGATGAAAACATGGCGGTAGTGGAATCATAGTAGCAGCTTGAAATAAAAATTATATGATAATATTATTTTGCTTTTGTTTTATGAATTTAAATTAAGCGTATACCTGCAAAAATCACGACCCATTTTAAACCAAAAAGTGGTTGACAATAAATATGATGTTGTGCTTGCTGATGCTGTGTTGTTTGTGCCTGCTGTGTATTCGCAGTACAAATGCCTTTTTTATTTTTAGAAAAAAAAAAGAATGAGTCGTGATTTTTTGCTAGGATAATTGTTATAGCAATGAGCGCAAATTTAAAACAAAAAAAAAATAAATTCACTTACGAAATACGCCAGGTGGAATAGGTCGATATATAGCTGGTGGAAAAGGATGAAATGCAGCCGGTGCAGCATTTGTTGGATCAGGAAAAAGAACTCGATGTGTTGGATGACCGGGTGGTGGCGCTAATGGAACAAAAGTCGTATGGAAGAATGGAGAATATTTTGTTTGATGTCTTAATATGGCTTGTTTTTGAGCATACATTATTTGATACAATTTATGCCAATTTTTTTCATTTGAGCTATTTTCTGCGATATTCGATACTGATGTTATTGCTATAAAGAATTTTATTTAAGGTAAATTTATTAATGAATAAGAATTATACACATACCAGTTTTATCAAAATCTCGTATACATAAATCATGCCAAAAAAGATTATCATTTAAAGTATTATGAATATCGCGACATGTTGATTGAAGTGCAAGTAAAGATTTAATTGAAAGATACTTTCCTAAACGCAACTAAAATCATAAAAAAGGAAAGATAAGACAAATAATAAAACTATAGATATATGGAAACAGAAAGAAAAGAAAAGAGGATCTTACTATCATTTGACTTACTTTTATTTCATTTGGTAATCCGATTAATGTTGCACTCGAACGCTGTCCCGATTCTAGAAATATTTTGTTTGAATTAAAACATTTTTTTTTTAATTAGAGGAATACTTTACCTTCTAGTAGTTTACATAATAAACGGTTTGCTAGATTATCTTTGAATAATCGTGATAAATCACGAAGATTATGATAGGGAAAAACTGCATTTAAAGCCATTGCTAAAAGAAAAATTCCTATTATTTATTTTCTAACATACAAGAAAGAATAATAATCAATATTATAAATTACATTGAGATTTTCTTACTTTGCAAATTATCTTTAACCTATTTAATCTAAACTATTTTATACCTCTCATTAAAAAATAATTCTAAAACTTATTTTTATGTACATCTATCTTATCAGTCAAAAATAAGTTGTTTCTATAGAATTCTTTTCATACCTTCTTTTTGTGTACATAAATAATTTCCAATGTTAAATGATAGTTTTCCACAAGCTTGTGAGATTGAATTAACAACACCTAAATTGGACGGAGAAAAAAAAAAAAAAAAAGGTAAACGAATGAAATAACTTAAAAAACAAAATTCTACCATCAATTGTTACTAATGAATCTGTTTTCATAATTGCTAATGAACATCTAATACATTCTTTTTCACATAATTTATGTCGATAACGAATAACATAAAATGTTGATGATTTTCGTGCAATTTTTAAATCATAATTATTTTCTGCATCCTAAATTACAAAGTTTTTTTTTTTTAGTAAAAATCATTTTTTTTTTACCATTTGAAAGCCACTTTCAAGCATTAAAGCATGTATAACTATAACTATATAATCAAAATCTGTTTCTGGTTGAGAACATTCCACAAGATGATATATTAATTTTGGATATGTTTGTAAATCTCGTACTTCATCAAGTGTTAATGGTTGATCAATAGATGATATTGATAATGATGATATATTATCATTATTTATTTCATTTAATATATAAATTGTATCACCATTAACAAGATCAGATTGTGACATTGTCTGATTTTCAATTAATAAATCTTTACCATTAAGTGATAAATGAAAGTTTGACTTTCTTAATGATGGAAAATTTTTTTTTATTGTATTTTTTAAATCATTTACAGATAAATTTTCATTAGTATCATCAAATGTTATTGAACTTGTTTGATTATGAAATTTAATACGAAATTTCATTATTCGAATAGAAACCAAGAAAAACTAAATAAACTTATCGCTTTCAGACAGCAGACAGCGCTCTCTTTATTTTTCCTTATTGATACAAGTCAGGGGAATGAATTCACATGATCGTCATAAAAAATCTACCAATGAAATAATATGTCGCCATATATATATGACAATTCTTTATTAGTTATTTTTTGTTTATTTGTTTGTTTGTTTTTCATCTTTCTCTATCATTTAGAAGGTAATCATTATTTTCAACGATAAAATGAGTGATCGTGGTGTAAGTAGTAAAAAGTTTTTTAATAAAGAAAAAAGAAACACATATTTTGTTTTTGTTTTTTTTTTTTATTTAGTATTCAAGAGAACGAGATAATGGACGATCACGTCGACGATCGCCTGGTTCACCACGAACAAGTCGATCACCATCACCAAGACGATAGTATGTTATTCTTTTAATTTTATAGTGTACTTATGACAAAAATATGACAATGATAAGTTATATCATGTCCTTCATTAATTGACTACATAAAAATATAACAGCACTGATGCAAGTGGGCGACTGAACCGCTCCTTTCCCTTTTCAGACATGCCCTAGGTCTATTACTATTAGTAATGAAATTACTTCATCAAAAACAATCAATAGAATATATATGCCATAGTCTAACTCGATGAGTTAATATATACATCTATAGAATATTTTAATTATTGAAGTCATGTCGGTAGCTGCGGGTCCACGTTTTTGAAGATCCGATTTTTTCCTAGTAATATTTGACATCTTCTATATACATGAAGGTTTTAGATGTATATTGGTTACTCTTCGAAAAAAAGTCCATGTAAAGTTATTTCTTGTTGTTGACTTTTTATCAGTTGATGTTTGAAAAATTTTAAGTTTTCATTTAGTTGAACAGAGTATTGTATTAATAAAAATCGTCGCATCAAAATCTTCAACTGAATGAAATAGTTTTTGTTATACTTATATAAACGCAATTAAACAAGAATGAGAGATGCAAGTCCACATTTTTATAAGCCCAGATCTTGTAGGATCCTACAGCTTTCTGAAACTATGAATCACTGTTTGTACAATGAGTCATAAGATTTGTTTGTGTAAAATAAATTTGACAATAAGGGAAAACAGAAAAGATTCGATTGAATGTTTATCTTGTAAGATGAAGAAATAACAAATGTGATCATTTTCATAGAAGATGATACAAATTATTGATTTATGCCATAGAGAAAAACTTATCCTTCTCATTCAGTTAAATTACGACGGAGATATTCTCTCGTTTTTTTTTGTTCTATTAATAGAAGTTAAGGCTACTTTGTATATTTATTCTAAAAATCTATGAAAAAAATTTTTTTTTCAATAGTTCTCGTTCACCATCACGTCATCGATCAAGACGTAGTCCAACGAGTCCAAAAGGTGGTCGTCGTCAACCAAATGAAATGCATCGTGAAAATCCAATACCAAGTGCAGTACTTGGAGTGTTTGGTTTATCACAATATACAACAGAACGTGACTTAAAAGGTATTTTAAAAAATTATTTACAATTAACTTGTTAAATGTTTCTTTTATTAATTTAGAATTATTTCATAAATTTGGTCGAATAAAAGATGTACAAGTTGTAATTGATAAAAAAACAAATAAATCTCGTGGATTTGGTTTTATTTATTTTGATGAAATTGAAAGTGCAACACGAGTAAAAACGAAAAACAAAAAAACAAATATTTTTGTTGTATTAAAAATTTTTTTTTTTTGTCTAGGCTAAAGAAGCTCTAAATTCTGTTGAAGTTGATCATCATCGCTTACGTATTGATTATTCGGTGACAAAACGTGCTCATACACCAAGTAAGTTAACCGATAAGTTTTAAGATTTTTTTAAATTGTTGTTTTTTTTTTTATTAATATTAAAGCACCTGGTATTTATATGGGTGTTCGTACAACATCATATCATCGATCAAATGGACATAGTTATCGTCGTTCACCATCACCCGAACGAAAATCCTATCATCGACGACATCGTCATCATAACAATCGATCTCGGTTTGTTAATACTAGCATTGATTACAGATTATTGAATATATTAATATTAAATCATTTAGATCACGTTCTCGTAGTCGAAGTCGATCACGATCTCGACGTGGTAAGAATTTAAAAATTAATGAATTTATTTATTTATTTATTTTTTCTTAGGTGGTGATCGTCGACGTCGAAGTCCAGGTTATGGATATGATTAAATAGGAAAATCTAAATGGCATTCATTCCCTGCTGACGAATCTCATCGGGGTGAGTGTCTAGTCAACATTGTTTTTTTTTGCTATGAAAGTAGAAAAAAAATGTTTAAACTAACTCTATACTCATCCAACATGATTTCTTCTTCGTCTTTTTTTTTTCTTTGTGTATGTGTATTCTGCGCTACACTTTTCATTTTTTTTTCCTCCTGTCTATTTCATGATGTTTTCCTTTTTTTTTTGTTCTTGCACGATAAGGTTCTCAAATTGACTGTTTTGTTTTTTTTTCTTCATTCTATGTGTATCAAGAAAAAAGAAATTATGTAAACATGCTTAAACAAGAAAGAAGAGTTGTGTTATGAAGAAAGGAAGATTTGTTTGAAGATTGTTCCTGAGAAGAAAAAAAAAAGAAAGAAACTATTTTATATTTCTAAAGAAAAATTTATGAAAAAACGGTATGATGAATACAGAGAAGTAAATGAAGAAATATATGTTCAAAAGGAAGATGAAATTTGAAAGAAGAAAAATGGATGAAGGAGATATAACGTGAGTTATTATTGTTTATATTTATTATTGTATCATTTATTCTCTGTTTTTTGAATGTATTGAAATAAATACAAATAAACTATCGTAGTTTATAGCAGAGATAATAAAAACAATTTTAATTTGCTTTTTTTCTTGAATAAAACAAAAAAAAGATTTATACGTGATATAATATGCAAAGAGAATAAATGATATATTGACATTCACAAAACTTGTAGAATTTTTCAACATGATTTATAAATCAATGAGCTCATATAACAGTATGAGTAGCTAATTTTTATATTGGAATGATATATTAATAGTTTATAAGAAATCAATATTACTTTCAGACATCCACTCGCTTTTGACAAATGAAGTTATCGATTGAATTGATATAATTGTTAACGCTATTTTCTATACGATAATTATTGATTGCAAGTTCATATTTGAATAAAGATAAAAATTCTATATGCATTTCAAATGATTAAATAGAAATACTTCAATGATGAATTAATTAATTGATCAGATCAAGATAAATAAATATTTCTTAAGTTTTGTAAATCATTAGAAAACAAACATGAAACAAAATATTCAGTAAATCAACATTAACAAGATTAATTTTAACGAATAGAGATATATCTTGTATCAGGTAAGTTATTGTGAGTTGCATTGCATGAGACAAATTATTAAGATTTCAAATCAGTCATTAAATCAGCAAAGAATAATTCAATATGATTGTTGAAATTTTCTTCCATTGAAATTCAAGCATTACTAAACGAGACAAAAATGACATGACGTAGAATAAAAGAGAGAAAAGGGAATAATTATATTTACATTGTTGATTGTTCGTGACTATTGATCAATTGTGTGAAGTGTCGACACATTTTCAAAATCAAATCAAATACATTTTTTTCTTGTTTCGTAACACACTATTCACTAACAATGGCAACAGCACAATATAGTGCATTGTTTCCACATGTTGCACCACGTTGTAGAGAACTTCTTCATATACTCGTACATGGTGCCGCTAATTTACCTAATATAGGTAATCGTTTACCTCAATATTATGTTACAGCGTAATTATATGAATCTTGATTATTTTTGTATTTATTTATATATATGAATATATATATAGACAAAGTCACACAACTGTAGCAGGAGAAGATAATGTAGAAACAATAAATGCAACAAATTATGTTGAAGGTATTTCACCTCAATGGAATGAAATGATTTATGTAGACATATCAGAAGATAAAAGTCAATCGGAAGGTAAAATAAAATTTGTTCATTATCTATACTATTGATGATTGAAAGGTTTTGAAAAAAAAAGAGAAATAGTATAGTCATCTTTTCTATCATAATGTAGATTAAATATTTTATTTGCAGGAGTTATTTTTTTTATTATTGATGAAGTTAGTAAAAAGAAAATCGTTGAATATCATTTACTATGGAGATGGTTAGCACCATTCTATGAATATCATTTAAATTTACAAAAGACATTACCACAAACATCTCAAACAACTTGTTTATATGTTTCAATAATGAAGAAACAAAGTTCTTTATCAAAAGAAAATATTCGATATTTTGGTTTAGAAGCATTATTAAATGGATTTGATGTACCGATTACAAATAGTCAATCAAGTTATGTTATTGCACGAATTGTACCTGACTATAAATCTTATAGGCATGTATTTGATAATTTTTTTCTAGCAGAGATTTTACGACATTGCTTCGTTTCATATGTAACTCTATTTAGGAACAAGATAAAACAATGAATTTTTTAAAAAATGCTGCATTAAATGTTTTACTCGGATTACAAAACATTCAAGTCTTATAGCTATTTTCGAAAATTTTAATAGATTGTTAACACTGAAGTTATTTCCTATAAGAAAAAATAAAAAGAAGGCCAAAAATTGTTGCATTTTATACATTCATATTGACTATCAAGTTTAACCTTCAAAACATCTTGATTATTACTCCATTCTCATTTCAAATACAAGTGAAAAGTAAAGTCTGAATCAAATGATTTGGATGCGACGCCTTGAAGTAAAACGCTGCTTTTTTTTGTACTTTATTGCTCTCAAATATGTTGCCTAAAAAACAGTGAGCTCGATGCATAAATCACTAGTTTAAACTTCTTTGACTCTTGGAAGAAATAGTAAAAACAAAAAAGAATTAAGCTTAACAAAATAATGAAATGAGAACATGTTGATGAGAAGTCAGTATTGACTAAAAGTGAACTCAGTTATCAAGCATAAAATAGACTTCCAATATTCCATTGTGAGAAATAGCACAATGACACATGTGTTCAGTGTTAGCAGTAGAGTCTTGTGGAGACAAATTTTGACGACTCTGACTTCGAAAATTTCTTTTGACTGGCATATGCGATGGGCTCAACAATTGGTCATATAGATTTAAATTCAATGTTTTGTTGCTAATGGTAACTCATATAAAGGATCCAAATAATGACTTGAATAGATAAGACTGTTTACAACAGGACTTTATAAGAAAGCAACTGCTCACAACATTGTTGAAACTTAGTTTTTCATCAACTAGAAGCTACAAATAAAAGCTTTTCTTGATTACACGAAGCAAGAAAGTAACTGATTCTCTACAAAATTAGATGTCTCTGAACTTTGAAGGATGGGTTTTTTGATGAAGTACATTGATATTAAGAAACTTCAAAAGACAGTTTTTTTCGCCATTGTTTGTATGAAAAACTAGACGAAAAAGGACTTTGGAACTTTTTTAAAATTTATCTGGTTCAGTCAAAAAGTATGCAGAGGTCGAAGAGGTATCATTTTGTAGAGAATTAGTTGTTTTTCTGCTTCATGTGATCAGTAACTTTTTATTTTCGGATTTTGGATGCTGAAAAATTAAGTTTCAAGTTTTCTACTTTTCTTTTTCATTTAACATGTTTATTGGCTTGACAGTTCTTGTTTATCGACAGTCACAATCATCAAAAATGAGTGGTACATTAAAAAAAAGCATGAAATCAGATTTTTGAAGTTCGATGCATACATCCTAGTTAACAGTCTATTAAAATTAGGAAAAGAATTGTAAAGACTGAATTTTGTGATTCGAGTAGAAGATTTAACGACGCATCTTTTGAAAACATAGATCTATGTTGTATCACGTTTGTGAATAGAGTTACCGGCAAACAAAGAATGTCACAAAAATTTTGCTACATTTGATAAAATCGATTTTATATTTATTCATAGACAAACATATTTACTTGATCAAAGAAATGAAAGTCACGGTATTAAGTTTAAAGTAGTAGAAGATCCTAGCGAGCAAGATTTTATATTACCAGAATTCTCAGATGATGGCTATCCTCAATTATCACTAGCATCTAAAAGGGTATGGTGATAAAAAAAAAATACAAATTACATCTCTCTAATCACAATAAAGTATATGGATTATATTAACTTATTTATTCGTCAGACTACCATCGTTTTGTGTCATATTTATACTTTAGATTCATCTATTATCGTTTAGTCTACTCTGCAATTGACAACTCGTAAAGAGAAATGATTTGTTGATACAGTTACATATTTGTTTCGTAGACTAATATGCAATCGAAACCGAAATTTGTCACTGTGATTATCTTGCAAACATTAATTAATTTAATATTGAAATCTTCGAATTTAATTTGATGTCTTATGACAATCAGTTGCAGATGAAGTCATGTCTGTCTCACGAGACAAGTCATCTAACTGGTATATCGTTGTTGAGTTCAGAATAGGTTTATTGAATGAACCTAATGACCCATGATTATCTTGAAAAGAGTTCGCAGTCTCAGTATATTACTACGGAGATGCTGCACTTCTAAAGTAATTTTTAAATAGATGCTATAGTGCTCCTAAGGAACATCAGGAAAAACTGATTTTAGAATGTCAATCTGGAACTTAGCGTAAAAGCAGATCTGAACGAAAGTTAATTTTGTGACTATTTTAAATCTTGTCGTAGTTCCTATCCTAAGATACAACTATGATAATAGTATGCCTTTCACATCATTCATACAAACTGAAAAATTCAATATTCTTATTTCAGGATGGAAACATATCAAAAGATCTGAAAATTTCACAATGAAAGATTCTTGTTAAGATGTGTATCTATGTAATGTTTCAAGTTGAAACTCAAAAATCAATTTTTCTGATGTTTCTTAAGAAGATCACAGAATTTATTTAAAAAATAATGTGAAAGTACACTATCTCTGCAGTTATAAGTTAAAAGTATGGATTCATCGGTTTGAGGATTTCCTTCGTCAGTTATATAACTTGACGAATCTCGATTTTTTTTGTATTCATTTATACTAATAATAATTGTTGCTTCCAGTTAGAACTGCAGAACGACTAACATACATAGGTGGTATTTTAATTAATTCTATTGTCTTGCGTGTAATATATAGATCGAAAGAGAAATGTTTTTCATTTGCTACAAGGCAACAGACTACTATTGAAGATATCAAATAAAGTAATTTATACTAAAAAGATAGTCACAAAAACAAATTTTGAATTCAATTGCATATTTAATACATAAAACAAATTAGAAATTGTCTCAAAGCTTTCAATTGTATAGTAAACTAAATGATAAAATACACATCGATAGTATAAATATGAGATCAAACGATGATAGTCTAAAGAATAAATAGATAACCATTTTATATACTATAGATTGTAATCAGGAAAATATATTTTATAAAAATTCTTTTAGTCAAAACGTCCAATATGGAAACATGACTTTTTCTTTTCGCATGATAATGAAAAAGATAATATGTTTACAAATCCAAATAGTGCACTCGTATTTGAATTTTATCCATTACAAAATATTGGTAATAATACAAGATGGCGTATAGCAGGTTTACTTGGATGGACAACTATTCTATTAGATACACGATTATTAAACGCACTTTCATCATCAGCTGCACGAGAAGGCATGAGAACTGAAGGTAGTATTGCATTGTTTTTATTTCTTATTTATTTATTCATTTGAATTTCAACAAAAAAAAATAATTAAAGGTCTTATGATCAATAGTGAAGGTGATTTAGCACCAGAAACTGCGAAATATTTAACAGCTGAAGTTGTTCTTCGTCTTGTTACTGAAAGGCATCCAACAAAAAATCTTCTTTCATCATCAGGTAATAATTTACCTGTATTACCTTCATATTATAATCAAGGTATTCAACAAAATGGTACTGAACCTGTTTATATACAAGTGCCTATGTCACAGAAAAACTTTTTACCAGCAATAAAATCACCAACATTACCACCGCCTGTTGCTCGTTCACCTATACAAGTAAGAAACATTTTATATATAGATGTTTATTGTTTGAACACTGTTAATTTAATAGAATAGAAAACGTGTACTCATTTACTATAAATTTTACATAAGAACTATGGAAAAATATTGTCTTGTGTGTAATTTAAATTTCTTTCGTAATTACAGGGAAAAGGATCGATTTAAACTCTACCGACTTCAACTATCTTTTAATAGACAGATATTTATCTCAAATATAGACAGTTTCAGGTGTAATTAAACATATAAACCTTTCATTTGTTTTTGATTCTTTACAAGGGCTATTTTTCTGATCAAGTTCTTTTAGTATAGACATATCTAATACAAGGATTGGATTCGGTGACCGAATTGATTCAATTTCTGCTGCCAAATTCCTACAATTTTCGGACCGAGAACCTATGAATTTAGGTGCCTGACTCATTGATTTGGAATAAAGCAAAAGTTATTGCTCTTTTTTTTGTCTCGCGTTGCTAACGCTAGCGTTTGTTATTGATAACTCTTCTGAAAACATTAGTTCTATGAAAGTCCAATCTTTTGAGATTCGCGTGTTCTAATTTTACGAAGTGATGTCGTTAGCGAATGATTTGTCCACTATGCTAGATAAAGCTTCAAAGATTAGGTTATGAAACTATTAAAAAACCCTTATGTCACTCTTTCGAAGTGTTCCAGAACTATTCATGCCCTTTTTTCGTTTGGTCTTTAGCAACAAATAGTATAAGTATATTTGATAGCAATTCAAAATGGCAAACGATCACCTACACATACAAGACAAACAAACACTTAAAGTTACTAAAGCATGGATTGTTCTCTTTTTCTTAACATAAAAAGAAAACGAAATATTTTTCTCCTATTAAAAATCATTTCACTTGTTTATGACATATTTTGCAGTTGATTGCTGCTGAGTCACAGGATCATATAAAACGTATGTTTTACTATCATCCGAACCAAAAACGATTGGTTCTAGCACCAAAACCAATAAGTATATCAAATGGTGCACCAACGTATTCTCTTGTCTGCATTTTAACTAAGACAAAAATAACTTATTTCGAATTTGTTTTTTTTTCCTCTTTTTTAAGGCAGCTCAACCAACATTTCTTCCACCACAATTGTATCAACCACCTCAATATGATGTATGATAATTTTCTGTTTTTTTTTTATAATTACAATTTTTGTTTTTTAAAGTTTGTACAAAGTGCTCCACAAGCACCAGCAGTAGATGTTAGTTCTTAAAGTTTGTTTGTGTTTTGTATTTATTCTTCATTATTGATAATATAGAATACTCGTTATCGTATTCCACGTATTAATCCATATGATTTGGATGATATTCCAACAGAATATCGAGCTATGTTAGCAACAAATTATCCTCCACGTCGAGATGATGATATTAATGGTTGGTTTGATTATTTTGAACGTGAAGTTGCACTTTATAAACAAGCTATTCGACGTATTATACAAGATGTTACACAATTACGTGATCAACATAAAACATTAACAGCAGCAAATGCTGATTTACGAACAAAAATAGAAAATTTTGAAAAGAAAAAAAAAGTTTTATATGAAATTTTTGAAGGTGATAAAATTGATAAAGCTAAAATTCAAGATATATTTAGTAAGAGAAAAATATGTTATTTATCATTAATTTAATAATCAAATATTATTTTATTTTTAGATCGTTTAAATGCTAAAATATCTGCTCAATCACTTGAATTAAAAGAAAATTATGCAAAAATAATTGCTCATGAAAAAGAATTAGCTCGGGTATATACGTATATATATCATAGAAATGAATAATAAAAAAAAAAGAAATTTTTCTTTTGTAGCGAGGTGAATTACGTGCTCAATATGATGCATTAGTTCGTTCAAGTCAAGCACGTGAAGTAGAGATTAAATTATTACAACAACGAATAGGTAAAGCTGATGGACTTGAAGAAACAGTTCGACGTCAAGAAATGGTTATTGAAAGACTTGAATCAATGATTAATAATTATATGAAACAAAAACGATTAGGAGGTTGAAATCTTGCTTTGACATTGATTTTTGTTAGAGAACAAGAGATTATTGTTTTTTGTAGGAGCATTTAATGATATTGATAGAAACTTTTTATCTGAACATGCTGCACTTGGTTTAGAAACTCAACAACTTCAAGTACGTTTTTTACTTAGATTTTTATTGATGATAGAGTGAATATTTAGTAGAGACGAGTATCTCCTGGACGTCATACAGCAATGGTAAATAGTCATCGAGACGATCTTCTTCAACAAAATATAGCTTATCAACAAGAATTAGCTACGCTTAAAGCTCGAGTAAGGTTCATAAAAGTTTTGGTTTTCAATGATTTAATATTACGTATTTGTTTCTTTTTGATCATTAAATAATTGTATATGATGTTTTAGTTGCAAGAAAATTCAGCTGCATGGGGAAAAGAAAAAGTTGAATTACTTTCGAAAATCAACGATATGGAGCCATTGGTGAGATTTTTAGTTCTTTTTATCAATTAGAAAGTTTAGTTGTTTTTTTTCTAGTCACCTACACCACCGACACGAATACGAAAACCAAAGCCTTATTAAATTTTTATTCAGCTTTTTAAGAATAAAAATTAAATAAATATTTTTTCTCATAAATAACAAGTAATAAACATGATCTATGGTCAATGTGACTTACTAAAAGTAGGTATTAATCGTCCGTAAAGTCGATAATCTCATATAAAGTGTTATTGAGTACAAAAAAATGTTTTTTAATGAATTAAAAGAATGTCTTATAATAAAATAAAATGTTTTCCTGCGACTATATTGTTTTTCCATGGTTAACTTTTCAATCAATAATTTCGAGGGGTTCCATCTGAAAAGACATCAGCTTCTGTCGGAAAACGGTAGTAACTAGGAAGCAGGAATCTAGCTGTCGAGTTCTTATAGCTTCTGTTTGAACCGAGCATAGATGGTTTCTTGAACGAAAAGTACAGTTTCTTTATAGCAATTAGTTGCGAGGAAGAACCGTTCCTGTAAATAGAATCTCAAGTTCATATTGCATTATGAACTACATAGATAATGAAAAATACAATACTGGACATAATTTTTCGGACGGTTTTATTTTGTGTATAACTAACTTATAAAGTTAGTTTTTGAGGCGCGGCTTTGACCAAGATTACCAGTAGTGTTCATGGTGGAACTGGACATCTAACAATGAGTAACACTCATTTTCTGTTAGACAAGTTTTTCAGACGATCTTTCCAATTGAGTTATTTTTTTTACAATTGTTTAAAAGAATAGTAGTTATATAAATAGAAAGAGCAAAACACGAGCTACATTTTGATAACTAAAACTTTCTAAAAGCAAAATGTCTATGTAGTAAAATGCTTGTTTTATGACAGACAGCTGAGAACATTCATGTGAACTCCTTATCAATTTTATATAATGAGTTGTTTTTCTTTTTAAGTGTCATATTCGAAAGAGCATCACACACTGCATAAGATAGTAGATAATCTCCAGTTTCACGGAAAACGTTTTTCTTGGTTTTTAGGGACCATTTTCTGAAAAACTTGCAGAGTTTGAATGTCTTTCGAATGTCATACTTCAAAAGAAAAACCATTCATTATATAAAGTCGATAAAGAGTTCCCATAAACGTTGTCAGCTGTCTGTCATAAAATAAGCATTTTACTACATAGACATTTTGCTTTTAGAAAATTTTAGTTATCAAAATGTAGCTCGTGTTTTGCTCTTTCTGTCTATATAATTACAATGCTTTTAAACAATTCTGAAAAAACTCAATTGGAAAGATCGTTCGAAAAAACTTGTCTAACAGAAACTGACTGCTGATCATTGTTAAATGTCCAGTTCCATCATGACTCAACATTTAGGGGGTGAAATTTTCTGTAAATATAGCATGGACACTACCGATAATCTTGACCCAAGCCATGCGTTAAAAGCTAACTTTATACGGTAGTTATACACAAAATAAAATCGCCCGAAAAATTATGGTGAGTATTGTATGTCAGTTGAGAACGTGTTTACTACATTGAAAACATTTTTGATTAAATATATCCAACATAGTAGATAAACATATGGCTTCATAGGGAATTTCAATCTTTATTAGAATATTTATATACACTTTATATTAAGAACATAGTTCTCGTGGGATGAAAGTTTTACAAAGTAATTTTTTGAATGATGAAAATTGAAAGTGCTTTCAATATATGTAATTAATATTTGAAATCTGTTCTTATAGTGACGATAAATTGAAAGTACGAACTGCAACTATTTTTCTTTCTTAGCGTGTCTTGATATAATAATCAATGGAGAAAATTTTACAATTCAATCAAGATTTAAAATCATTCAATAATTATTTTCTTTTTATAAAGTTTCATCACTGGAAATATTTCAGTGATTTCATTTAGACACGTAAAAATTACATTTCATCTTTATTTTATTCGTGACTTGCTTGAAATTCTAATTTCAAATAAATATTTTAGAGCAATATTAGATACTAAGTGTTTGTTAATGCAAGACAATGCAAATCTTGTACAAACATAATGAAGAAATATTGAGTCTTATGGAATTATAAACGGTCTATTCTCCTTAATAGACGTGCACATTAAGAAAAACAAATCACATAACTCAACTTGCAGCTGATACCAGTTTTTCAGTTGATAATAAGACACACACTTCCCTTAATAATACTGATACTCATATTTTTGACGATGGAAATTATATTATAGTCATTATACAAACAAGAATTATATTAATAACATAACGATAACAATACAGATAGTATTCTTTCCATTTATCCATCTTTAATGATCAACGTTGAAAAAATTCAGTTTGATTATACTAACTTGATCAAATCAATAACGTATATTTCATTCATTGAAGTCTTCGAAGTATTTAATAACAGTTTTGTTTCGCAATCAATTTGGTATTACGATGATCGACGTAGGTTTTCTCTTCGTCTACAATCACACTCTCAACGTGGAACTCACACATGAATTTGATGGTAACAAGAAAAAGACGCAAAATCAAATTGATTAATGCGGTCCATGGATAAACTATTTTCTGAACTATGTAATTCATGCTGCTATCTTAATGGAAAAGAATCGAAAAACGATATTCAATCGAGATTATGTCTAGAAAAGCTGTATCTATAAGCGGCGAGCAGACGCATTGAACACAAGCTTACATACTGTGTCATAACAAATTCGACGAACATTCGATCAAATAAATTGCGAATAACTTTAAATTATAATGAGAGTACGTACTTTTCTGATGTCAAGTGGCTGTCTGTAAAGGTTTGTAGTACTTTCTTTGAAACCAAAAGATCATTTGTTTCAAAGATTAAAGGATTAAATTAAAAGAGTCGTGTGATGAACATAAACGTTGATCAATGCCTGAGTAATGCACAGAAAAATTTCATCTAACAGGTATTAGAAATATGTCAAAACACATACTTGGTTGATTTGTAAATGATAAATTTCTCGCATGCGCGTAAATATTAAACAATAGTAATAAATATTTATATGTTGCAAAACATCAATCTGATTCAGAAAACTCATTAGATACAGTGTGCTCTTGTATCAATATTGACCTTGAAAAATGTTATCTCAAACGGTTGTTATTCTTAATCCTATTCTCATCATGAGGTTGAATACAGCTGAAATTATTCAAGAACTTTTCAGAAACAAGAGAATTCTTGTTTCTATGGTTCGATTTTCCAAGTTTAAAATGATTACAGATATTTCATTCGATCTCATCTCTCTCTATGCTTGTTTGTCGATGTCAATAATCATCACCCAGCTTGTTATCATCGTTTGTTTGGCTCATTAAGTACAATCTTGATTAATATTGTTCATCATGACAATCCTGCCTCGTTTCAATAGCCATCATCATCAAAGATTTCCATTGTGAAGAAAATTTATTGAAACTTTATGATTTCATCCAAAGAATTGTTGACTTTCATTTGAAACCGTAAAATTTAACACCGAACATTTGATCAGCATTTTCCTACAAGACTAAACAAAATCAAAATAATTTTTTTCATTCAATCAAATGAACTGTCGATAAGAAATGGAACAACTTCACTTTTCGGTGAAATTCAAGTATCGAGCAACAAGACAAAGCATTTGCGTTTATTCGATAATATTTGTCTGCTCGACAGCACCCATTACTGATATTTTAATGCTAACCATCTCGAAAAACTGATGCAGATTGAAGAGAAATCCGCAAGAAAAAGACTTCCAATCGATCAAAGTTGAGGATGCTTCACTTTTTCTATTTCATTTCTTACATTTGCTCAGTTTTTATAACGCGTGATTATTATCAAATCTGAAACCTTGCTTCTTTTAATTATTTTACAAGAAAAATTTTACTTTTTATTTTTTAAGATAAAAGAAAGGTTAGCAGAAATATCATACAGAATTAAAAATAAGAATTGCTACAATAGAATAAAACTGAACTGTACATTGTACACTTATTGAATAAGCAAAATGTTTTTCATTGTTAGTCACCGATTGAAAAACAAATGATATACTATGTTATTTCTGATAAAACCTACAATGTAATATCCCTTCTTAGTTAGCATCGATTACAAGTAGATGTTAAATAATTGGTTATGGACATATGTTCAGAAATATGGTAGCACTATCATCAATAAAATTGGTCACAACCATGTCTAGTTTTGCATCATTATTAAAATCGCCCATTGCCAAAGATGATGGACTATTGCCTGTTTTATATGTTCTCTGCGTCTGAAAAGTACCGTCTCCATTCCCAAGAAGTACGCTGATACTATCACTACCGGAGTTAACAACAACGAGATCTATATTTGCATCATTGTTGAAATTACCCGCTTTGATAACAACCGGCCTTTTTCCTGTCGAATATGTTATCTGACTCTGAAAGTTTCCCTTACCATCACCAAGAAGCACATTTACACTATTATTAGCATAGTTCACAACGGCTAGATCTATATTTCCATCATTGTTAAAATCACTCGATATCACCGACACCGGATATACGTCTGTCGAATATGTTGTCTGAGTCAGAAAAGCTCCGTTACCATTACCAAGTAGTATACCAACGTCGTTACTGTCGGCATTTGCAAGAGCAAGATCAAGTTTCGAATCATTGTTGAAATCACTAGATATGATGGAGAATGTGCTTTTACCTGCCGTATGCATCACTTGTTTTTGAAAGCTGCCATCACCATTGCCCAGAAGTATGCTGACGGTATTATTATTACTATTGGCAATAGCTAGATCTTGTCTACTATCACTATTAAAATCACCTGATGTCACAGAAGTCGGATTTAATCCTGCACTATAAGTTTTCGCTCTCTGAAACGTCCCATTACCATTACCAAGTAACACAATGACAGCGTTATTAATGCTGTTTATCGTAATGAGATCCAGTATATTGTCATTGTTGAAATCGTTTGCTACCACAGAGTCTGGTTTTGTTCCAACTCCACAAGTTATCTGATTTTGAAAGGTACCATCATCGTTCCCAAGAAATACACCGACATTATTACTACCGGAATTAACTACAGCTAAATCTAATCGTGTATCATTGTTCAAATCAC